TTTTGAGAGTTCTGGGGTGATAGTTTTCTTTTTAGCATTACTTTAAACTGCTTTTATGGCCCATCTTTTTACTAAATTCTTACACTTTTCTAATAAACGGCAGAAGAGGGCAGCCCAAGTGTTGGGGATGCCGAAATCGCTATGCAGCCAGGTTGGCCAGATCTCACCTGTTTCGATCCCTTTTGAAGGAGGCACTTCTGGCCAAGGTTGTGGGCTTCTCCGTCGCGCAGGTTTGTCCACCAAAATCCAATTCACGCGAATGACCTCGTCAAACTTTCTTTGATTCACAGCCATCTCCGCCACCAGAATTTGGGGGTGGAAAGAAATAAAATAGGCAGAGAGAATGACGATCCCGATGATCGGATGAGTACAAGTGCCGACCAAGACGATGAGGATTAACTCTAGAGTTGGATAATAAAATCTTACAACACCAGATAAGTTATTGTAAATATTTCTAATAAAACATATTGTAAGCTGAAAACAATATGATGTATTGCTCATATAAACTGTCCCCCACTACTAAGTTGACTAACTCTCCACTCCACAGCCTTGTACAGGATGGATGTTAGTTTTTAAAAAAATTCGTAAACTGTAACAACAAAAATGCTATTAAAATTTAAATCATTGTCCAATGCAGTTACCAAGTCAAATTTAATACGTTTAAAAATAGTTTTGTTTGCATGCAAGATAATTTTGTGATAGTCACATGAAAAGAAATGACATTACACACACACACACACACATACATACATACATATTTCTCTATAAGCAAAATAAATATTTATATTTATGTATTTGCAAAAGTAAAAGTCAATATTAAACGCTTATTTTATTTTGTATGTATTTACCCGACATAGAAAGACGTTATGTCACCAAGCAAATCACTTTCTGCAATAAAAGCCAAAATGAAACCATTTACAAGCACGAAAAAGTATCCTGTTTGTTTCTATCTGATTTTCTGGGTTGAGGTGTTATCATTATTTACCCTGTTTATACATTTATATTTACATAAGTTGACAATATATGATTGGGTATACATATATATATATATATATATATATATATATATATATATGTGTGTGTGTGTGTGTGTGTGTGTGTGTGTGTGTGTGTGTGTGTGTGTGTGTGTAACGAGACTGACCACAAGAATGACATGAAAATTGCTACTCTAATCAAAGGGGAAAATAATTGAATAGGACGTAAATATCTAGAGAGTGCCTTAATCGCAACATCGTCCAGAGTAAATTTGCTCCCTGGCTCATACAACATTTCACCATTCCTCGCAGATCTACTAATATCACAGTGTGAAATACCTACTTACAAAAGTGATGCAAAGAAAAAAATGCGGATAGATAAAACAAAATATCTAAAATTCTCAGCACCCCTGTGTCATGCGCATGTATATTCATACCAACGTAACAAAATTAACTCAATTAAATCCTAAAAGTGTTAAACTTTTCACTAAACCCAAAATATATGTCCGCTACGTAGACGATATTTTTATATTAGCGAAAAACAAACAAGAAATAGATCATGTAAAAACCACATTAAAAAAAAATAAGTCCCTAACTTTACCTATGAATTGAGCCAAAAAAAAAACCCTTTTTTTAGACGTTCTCGTAGAATACAGTAAAAATACTTTCACCACTTCATGATATAAAATATCCACTAGCAGAAACTCTTGCCACCTTCATTTTAAGAGTGAATGCCTACTTAGATATAAAATAGCAGTTATTAAAACATTCCCTAAAGAGAGCACACGAGAATTCATCCTCTCGTTTACGTTTCTTTAAAGAACTCAATAATGCAAAACAGGCACTAGTTAACAATGGTTTTTCTAACTACCTCATCGACCACCAGATTAGACTATTTCTTTTTAAAATAACTAATAACAATACTGAACATACAGACAAAAACAATATTAACATCTTCTACAATAACCAAATAAATCAACTATAAGCAAGATGAATTTTCATTTAGAAATATCATAAAGAAATACACAACCCCAGTCGACCAGAACAAGAAAATTAAATTATCTATTACAAAAAATTTAAAACAGCTAACCTTATTAAAAATAACAACACACCTGCAAAATGAAAATTACAAAGAACCAACATTATTTAAAAGTTCAAATGTCCCTTAAAGAACTGTGTTCCTGATCAAACCAAACTCATAAATAATTACATCGGTCATGCTACAACATGCCTATCCAGACGACTTACGTTACACCTACCTAACCATAGCTCCATTAGGACACATTTAAAAACACACAAAACCTACCCGACTCTATCCAAAATATACTAGTAGAAAATACAAGCATAATAACCTCAACCACACGTAAAAAAGATTAAAACTAATGGAAGCCCTAATAATAAAAAGAAAAAAGCCAACACACAACAATATTAACCATGAACACGGCCACAACGTGCTGACCGTGTTTGGAAAATAAACATTCCTATAACTCTAGGTACATACATAACACAACCCATACATTCAGTTAAAAGTAAAAAATAAAATCATCCTTAATAATGGCTAAAAATATAGTGGAAAGCGCTCGGATAGGCAGAACTTTTGGACAGTTTTTACTCACTTTGTGTCCAGAAAAGAAATCACTTATGGACGTACAAAGGAAAAATGAAATAAGAAGCTTAATTGCAGTATATTGCTGTCGTCTTTCACAAAACATGTATGTCTATATATATATATATATATATATATATATATATATAGAGAGAGAGAGAGAGAGAGAGAGGTAGAGAGAGAAGGAGAGAGAGAGAAAGAGAGAGGGGGTAGAGAGAGAAGGAGAGCGAGCAGCGATAAAAAGAATGTTACCAATCAATACTAATACTGGGGGATCAATAGTTCAGACTGCCAATAACGGGAATAGATTACATAACAAAATCAAAAGCTTAAAAATGTCGTCTTTGTCGGGGACAGTGGGTGGGGAATAAAATTAACAGACAGACAATCTTCAGATGGTCGACATTTTACAAACACGACGTCATTTGAGCAGTAGTTAATACAAACTCATAGCACTACACAAATGCATATGGATTGTTAGCATGTTTCTCTCTTTCTCTCTCTTTCTTTCATTGTGTGCGTGTGTGTGTGTATGTGTGCATGCGTGTGTGTGTGACTGATCGGAGAAAGAGAGGGGTCTACATTGCGGACACGTCTTCCCCTTCCATTACAAAGGAGGCGTTAGTTATCAGTTGTCGAACTCGTAATGATAAGTTTCTCTTATGACAGCGGGGGCGGGCGGAAGTCTGTGGGTGGGTGAGAGCTGGGGGAAGGAGTCGTCGGACGTGAGGACAAATAATAATAATAATAATTTTGTTAATAAAGAAATTAAAAAAATGAGAGCGATGCACCAGGCGGAACTGTCAATGTTGGAACTATTTCCTATCGCGGAGTGGTATGTGTAGAATACACAGGCGGGGAAGACGTCGCGTCATGATCTTTTTTTTTTTTTTTTTTTCAAACAAAAATATAAAGAAGTAAAAAAAAAAAATAAAAGAAAGGGAATCTAGGTTTGGTTGATAGAAAATTAAGGGATGTTCGCTGGACATCCGGTCCGGGTTCGACGTAGAACGCTGAACTGGAGGCTTCTTGTAAAGAAATACGTCTTTTAATAACAGCCAATCTGGACCCGATTAAGTTGTTTTATTATGCCTCAGCCAATCTAACTATTTGCTCTTTAGATATGTCAACCTCTGTGGGCGCGAGTGTTCCGACATTTGAAAAATCCGCCACAAATTGACAGTTTTTTAAAAAAAATGTTCCACCCGATTTTTTCATTATTTATTCACACTTATAAAACTTGGAGTAATTTGTGATTGAGTTCTTGCTATTGGTGCTATCCATATGTGTTGAGAGGGGCACATATTCAACGAAAAATCAAGGAGAATAAGTTTTGCTATTCATCCTAAGGAAAGCTGATTCACCATCAAATCGTAAATGCCCTGCTCGCTATGCAGAGGGTGAAAAGAAACGCTCTCTGTCGAATGTCGGCGTAATCTTACGTCGTCTTCACAAATTGGTAAGTAAAGCTTTCGTTTACCCTCTCCCTCTTTATTTGTGCCGTAGCTGATCATGTGTCTCCACAGCTTCCTATATTTTGTTGCTTTATTACCCTACTTTGTCCTTTTTGGCATTTGTTCCGTAGTTCACTTACAGAAACTTGTCAAGTACGCTACACGCTGCTTCCCTTGCTTTCAGTGCCACATGTGAGTGTTAAATTCTCCAGATCTTCTTTCCTCTTTCTGTGACCCAAAATTCAGCTTTCTCTTTCGGATTTCTAGCAATATTTTCTTTCTAGTTTCTATTCTCCTTGAAATTTGATTCTTTGTAATTATGATCTGACCATTCTCAAGACTTGTTGATCGAATCAAATCTCGGATTCCGTAAACTTTTTGTTTTTAATTTCTGATGATATTGCCCAATTTACAGTGTTATATGTGCGCATGTGCGCAGGCATTATATAGAATTTCATGACTTTTCATTACTAATGTTAATTTTGATCTGTTAGTATTTCTGAAAAGTGTGTATTTTTGCGCCTTGGGAATGTTTCTCTCATGTCATTGGCCATTTCTTATTATACTGCTCAGATAGTTGCATTTCTGCATTTGAAATAAAAGGCAAATGTAGAATATTCATCTCTTTCCTGATTTGTCTAACTGATTTCTTTAGATATCGTTTTCGCTTTCATAGCGTTTACGTTTGTCTCTAATCACCGCAATCGGGAGTTCTACGATCGAACCGCTTATTCTGCTCAAAAGAATCTCAATCAATAAGCAGCTAAATGAGATTCGATTGATTTGTTTTTCACGGTTTATCAACCTTTTAGCGAGCATTTAAAGCCAAAAAATACTTTTAAGTAGAAATGAATCCATATCATTCCTAAGTTTATTTGCGCGTAAGTGAATATGACGAAACCGAATTGAATTGGAACTTAGCTCCCCAATTAACAATTTCGAGTCATTATCCATTTTATATCTAAGCTTACAGTAGGTGGTATTTCCAAGCGGTCACCCATCTAGGTACTGATTAAGCTTGACATTGCTTAACTTCAGTGATCGTATGGGAACCAATGTTTCAAAGTGAAATGGCCGTAAGCTTAGCTAATTTAGGTAAGGCAGTAATTTAAACACATTTTTATAAAAATAGTCCAAGATATTCTACATGAGGCTTTTAATTAGAACAGTCGGTAGTATCTTTCAATAAAGATGCAACATCCATTATTTAAAGCTTAATTTTATTTCCAATATATCTTTGTCTTGATATTTATAAAAGATACACTGCTTCGAAGACAGGGACATTAACTTCTGCCAAGTGGAGTGGGGAGTTTGGTTTCTTTTATGCAATCAAAATCCTAGCTTTTTACTCGATCTCGAATGAAAAATGACTGATGCCAGTGGAAAATACGCCACGACTTCAACTTCTAACCGCTGTTTCGAAGTGCATGACGTTAAAAAAGAAATGTTGATCGTGTCGCGTTAAAATATCGATTCCGAATGGATTTCTTATTGAAATTCCTGACTGTTGGCAACCGTCAGGAAATGCGATAACCTCTGAACACTAAATGGTCCATGCTTCAGATAGATAGATAGATAGATAGATAGATGGATAGATAGATATGAATATTGTGTGCGAGAAATATTCTTTGTTAATATCTTTTTTTATTCTGTACCATTTTCTTCATTTTCGGTGACATGTCAATGTTTTCGGCTTCCATAAGGCATTATAAAAGAGATTTCCTTTTTTGTGTTATGCTAAAAAAAAATCAAAACGAGATGACGACACGGATTGATACGTGAAGACGCGATACATTAAAAAAAAAAACCATCACACGTAAAGTCTCATGGCATTTGGAAAAACTGACATAGCACAAAAAATAATCATAATGGCTTATGAAAGTGGAATGTATTCAGACATTGGACCGGTTAGATTTCATTTTTCACCAGAAATCCTGAGAATAACTCGTTATATAGAAATATAAACCAAAACATAATTAACAATAGACCATATATATATATATGTATGTGTGTGTGTGTGTGTACCTTATCAATCAAATCCAAGGCCCAGAGACCAGAAGGTGTTTATATATTCATATATATATATATATATATATATATATATATATATATATATATATATATATATATATATATATATATATATATATATATATGCTGCTGAACCAAAAGTAAGTAGACAGTAAATGATATTTATTTTGAGATTACATACTAATACAATGAAATTTTGACAAACAATTATGACATATAAAATAATTTGAAAGAAGCCTCATCAGTCCATACAATGTTATCTAAAATTATTGGATTTTCTTTAATTTCGTTCGGCATGATCTTCCTAAATTCCAACCGCCTGTCTGGGGCATTCTGCAATAAGCCATAAATTTAGTCATGAACGAGAAGCTTTTAACGTAATAGATTTCTGAATTCGTACAATAGAGGTTTGTGAAATGTCCAATTCCGCTGAGGCTATTCTTCTGGACATTTTGGGACTGTGAAAAAGTACTTCGACAACAAGTTTCTTATCGTCCTTTTTGCAAACTGTTTTGGGTCGACCAGTTTTGGGGGCATTAAGAATTGAACCACTGGCATTAAATTTGTCAATAATGCAGTAAATGCGTTGTCTCTTCGGGGCTTGAATGCCAAATGTTTCAACCCATTTTCTTTCAGACTTCCAATACTCTTTTAACAGACAATTTCTGACATCAGTATTTAAATTATTTACCATCATGGCTTCTCTGAACTATCCTAAAAGAAAAAAAATTAAATGTAAATGAATTTAGTTATAAAATTTAATATAACACAAACACCATATACAAACCATATTCATCGTACTGTCCAACTACTTTTGGTTCAAACTATATATATATATATATATATATATATATATATATATATGGTTTGGTTTGGTCTGGTTAACGGTATATCAACTGGTTTTGGGTCATTAAATGCCTAAATTAAATTTTCTGAGCAGCTTTAGTTATTTTTAATATTAAAATATATTGCTGGAATTTTTTTTACTATAAAGATTAAAACTATTTATTTTCCTATAGTTGGGACCCTAATAGGTGCTACTACCCAAAGTCATGGTGGACCTGGGAACAACAACAATTAAGAGATGATTCCACGCACCTCAAATTTTCCCGATTAGCGGTCACGCAGCTGGGTGTAGTTTATCGTCATACCCAGGATGGTGTATATATATATATATATATATATATATATATATATATATATATATATATATATATATATATTTTCTACATACAACGTGTAAAAGCACGTGCTATAGCTTCGCCACTGTCAGCCGCCAACCGGTGGAGCTAATACAGTTTTGGTGACTAAGGCGGTACTGGCATCCATGGCGCCACCAGCAGCTTTTTGCTTCCGTCAGGGTATTGTTTTATATATATATATATATATATATATATATATATATATATATATATATATATATATATATATGACA